AACCTCTAACCACGATTGCACATTTTTCAGAGCAGAAGATAGTTTAATTAATAACAAATCTCTTATGTTCTGACTGATCGTACCAGGTTAAAGGTTTTTATTTAAAAAGTCAGTGCTGAGTGTTTCTTAGTTGGAAGTAATTCAGGCAATCATTGCACAAACAATGCAAAGTCCATTCATTATCTAATCAGAGGCTTTCTTGTATCTTTCCACCAGGTGAAATTTCCATGTATTAACCTCTTCTCCGTCATTGTTATAAGCAAGCAGTCTTAACTGCTGATATTCAGATGACTTTTTTTTTTTTTTTTCTCTCAAAGTCACTTTTTCAGAAGTTGCACTTTCATTTCAGGGTCTGAGGATGAAATCACAATGGATGAACAGTCACTAATTCATGAAAATACACTGGCTCCTCTCAACAGAGACTCACAGTATCTAAATTAGCCCCTTTCTCTGCTTTGCTTTCTGACTGGCAGAACCAAAGTCCAAGTCCTCTGATCTAGTTAAAGTTCACTTTGAGCTCTTTAAGCTGCCTTCACCTTGATGCTGAGACAACTCTATAGTTCACTTAAAACCTTGAATCTGCATCCTGCATTCCCTTATTCTCCATGTCAGTGCATGAGACCAAATGTCTGGCACTCAACCTTGTTTGTAGCCAAATTAAAAAGTAACTAGGATATGTGCAGGACAAAGAGAAGCTCTGTGTCATCACGAGTTCAATGATGGTCATTCCTGAGAGCAAACAGGACTTGTATAAACAACTGTGTAACTTTACACTTTTACTTGCCTTCTTGTTCTACTTCTCTCACCTGATTTTATTTGCAGTCCAAACTCTCAGTTTATTTCCAGAACTGTTCAAGAATCAAAGATTATTAAATGTTAACAGTAGAGGGACGTTTTTGTTCAGGTGATTAAAATAAAAAGGTAAACAGCAACATACATTCTTCTGATAGTCCTGGGATTTTTGAACATGCAAAATGCCGAGAAACTCCTTAGCCTTAAAAGTACCATTTTCCATCAGTGATATCGTTACAGTAAGTGACGGCAAGATACAAATCATTATGAATGCAGACCTGGTTGCTCGGTTTTCGTTTATTACAATTTACTGCACATAGCAAAATGGTAGGAGCGTGTGTGAAAGTGTTGCAAGTGATCAGGGTGCTGGAGCTCTGGCTGAGACCGCAGCAAACGCTGTTTTAGCTCAACTGTGGCCTCTGATGGAGAATTCTGGCATTGCAAATCAGTTGTCTCTTAAACAGCTGTTAAGAATTTGAAATGCAAAATTGCACTCCTAGGAACAAGTGATCGTTCTGGAATACAAGAGTAAATTAAATATAAAATAGATGTCTCCAACCTTTTAACATAAGGAATGCTCAGTACCACGCAACTCAAAAAATGATTATTCTACTTCGTTTCAGTTTTGCGTAGAAAAGAATTAATTTCTGATGCTGTGCTGTCTATCAAACATTGCCTTACTCGTACATCTCGTCCAGGAGCTGCACTTTTTGCTGCAGAATGTGACAGAGAAACACTTGGTGCCTTCCTCACCACCCCCCTCCCAATGGATGTGGATGGAAATAGCTTTCTTGTAGGTCTGAAATGCATTGAATGTCCTGGAGATCACTAAAGGAATGTGTAGGTGCTGCATGTTTGAAGGTAAAACGTTGGCAGTTCTGTACTGCTGTTCTTCTTTGTTCCTGCTTTCCTATGGATGGGAGAATAATCGGCTGGGTGAAGCCAAAAAGCCCACAAGGGCAATGAGAGCAGCAGCTATGATTGCTAGTGAGCACATTGCTGAGAAAAAATAAAGTACATCATCTTCCTTCTCTTTTCCATGCGAATGTCATCTTGATTTGCTAAAATCAACACATGGCTCTCAAAGACGTAAAGCCAAGTCTAAAATTTGTTCTTGGTCTGAAATTCTGGTCAGCTGGACCTGCATGAAGTTCATCACTACTTTCCTTTTTTGACCGACCATATAGCAGGCTTGGGACAGAACAACCAAGAATGTGTTTGGAGCTGATAAAGGAAATTTCTTCCTGTTCCCATGCTGCTTTGACTTAGCATTTCAGATGACAATTCTTCTCATATTTGCCTGGCAGCAGAACCTGTATGAACGCTCTTTGGAATAAATAGTGCTGAAGAAGCCTCCTTAGGGTGAATGAAAATCCTCCCTTACAGGATTTTCACTGGATAAACAGCCAACTTTGTTCTGAGGCTTTCCCCTTTAATGACTTTAATGTTTTGTTTAATTAATAAGAAGTAAGTATTTGGAAAATTGTCAGTATGAGAATGTCACTCCAACTTCAACATTCAGTCTGAATTAAATCTTGCTTAAAAATATTGATTCTGAGAAGTGACAGCACATACGGTAATATAATTAGCTTATGTCCTTGCTTACTAATAGTAGAGCAAAAGAAATAAATAATAATTATGAATAATAGTTTAATTAGACGTTTGATTTCCTTTCTTGTTTAATGAGAACTTGTGTATTGGAGAAAATGTGGTAAGAAATGTTCCACACAATCATTCCTACTTCTTCTGTAGCTCAGTTTGAAGATGATTTAACTGGATCTTATGATAAAAACTAAAGCATATTCTTCTTGCACTTTGTGCCTCCAGGACAAGGTTAAAACTTTCAAAGCACATTCTTCAAGATCAGACTGCTCAAACTTGCCATCTTCTGAACTTGTAAAGTGAACCTTCAAAGAAACTGCTGCTTAGAAATACAGTATTTTCCCAAGCTTGAAGCAGTAATATGCAATGCATATAGTTCAATTTGTGACAGAAACTAGCTGACTTACAATCAGGCTTCTGTTTTGTTAAGATTTGGCAGGATTTTAAGGAACAGAGTGTGAGAGCTAAGGCTCTTCCAAGTTGTACTGGTGACTGCCATGGTTCATAACAAAGTCCTTGGCCTCTGCATTTGTTCTGTGCTAGAAGTAGGTAGAGATGGGAATCATCATGCCTAAATAGAGGAACTGATTTTTTTTATTTATGTGATGTCTGGAGGCATAATCGGCCTGAAATCCTTGCTGCAATTAGTAAAACATATATCATTTACTGTTGAAATAGGCTAAGATGCTTTTCTGGCATGTGGAAGGGCTGACATCTGGGTTTGACTTTTGCTCGAAATCAGGTAGAATACAGGTTTAACCTAGATGTTGCTGGTGAATGACAAATTCTGTCATTTCATGCAGATAGTCAGGATTTCTCTTAAGAAGCTGTGATTCATCTTAAATGATGTTTTGCAAGGTGACCCCTTGTGACAAAGGTGGTGTGCAGAATTACATGCTTTCTGAAGATACAATGATCCTGTATAATATTTGTGCCTGCCTTAGAGGAAGCTCCCTTTTCACAGCTTAGAATGATACTAGGTAGGCATTAGGATGTAAAAGGCGGTGCATTTTTTGGCTGAGAGCCTTAGTAATGATACTAAGTTTAATTCTTTCTGAATAAAATGGCTTTCGCAATCTCTTTGGAGATTTGAAAAAAGGACGTTTGCATTGGCATCGTAAATGTCGATAGGTGAACAGTTTCCACGTGTAGCCATTTAGGATCTTGATTCTGTTGCCCGTTGATGCCTTCAGTGGCACAGGAAGGCAATGTATGAAAAATAATGTTGTATGTTTTTCTGCTCTGCTTTAGTTTTTAGAAATAGATGTGTTATCTGCCTTGGGAGAAGCGTATTAAATTGCCTGTTGTTTCTATACTGCATTCATGAGCATGAAGGAACAGCTGGGCAACCTTTTTTCCTGGCTGAAGTTGCCTGCAGACTCTGTTGGATCATCACAGTGCCATTAGAGTTACAACACTAACAATTTACAGTAGTTGACCCTTTTAAAAACTTTCAGATTTTTATCAGATTGTTTCTAAGCTATGCTTAAACAGGCCACTCCCTTCCAAAGAGTCTGCACCGTGTGCTCGGACTTGAGTTAACAATATCTGAAATAGCATTTTGTTCTTTGCTGTATCTGCGCTGCTTAGATTGGCTGCACAAGGGGGGAGGTTGAGTTGATGGATTAGATTTTGGGATTAGCATTATCCCATCTTCTGAATTTCCATTCTTATGGCAGAGCTAGAGTCAGTTATACGTTTTTGAGCTGACTGATCCTGCCTGACCTCTCCTCATGGTGATCCTCACCAAGGCCCCAGTGACTGCCCAGTCCCAGCTGTCCTTGTCCCCACAGCCAGCAGGGCTGGACCTCCCTGGGCCTGGTGCCAGAGAGATGCCTGGTGCTGCCCTGGTCCACATCTGGAAGTTGTGGGACAGGCCCAGGCTACAAGATCTGGCCTCCATGGAGTGGTTCTGGGAACTCTTGGAATGAGTTACGGCAACACGAGAGGAAGAAAGGCATACATCTTCGTTCATGTTGTTAACAAGTTGCAGTGGGCAGGAAAGTCTACAAATCTAAGAGGAAAATCTATTTTACAGTTCACATTTTAAGAACATCTCTACAGTAAATCTTCATCCCTGGATGTGTTTAAAAACCATTTGGATGTGGTGCAAAGGGACATGATTTAGCAGAGGGTTGTTACAGTTAGGGTAGTATGGGTGGTCATGGTTGGACTCGATGATCTTTAAAGTCTTTTTCCAACCTCAGCAATTCTATGACTCATAATTGGATTAGGGCCTAAAGGCTTGTTGATCTCTTTTGGACATGGCACAAGAGGGCCACCTGGCTGTGTTTTGCAGGTAGTGTGGTGGAATGTTGATAATTCCTGCTAGTTTTAAAGAGTTTGAAAGCTTGATTGATTGATTGATTGATTGATCTATCTATCTATTTAGAAGCCTAAACAGAACATTTGTACTATATTTTACTACCTAACTTACACAGGTGTCAGATACATTTGAAAATCTGCATCCCTCAGTTCTACATCTTGTCATAGTCTGAGAAGTGTTTCTATGTCAAGTTTAGTGCCTTGTTTTTGGTTGTGACCGATGATTTTTCCTTCAGCCAAGCTGTTTTCCCATATTATGAAACAGGCAGCTGCAATAAACGTTGAGCATTTTTTCACAGCATGCCCTTTATGCTGTGTTTATATCCCTAAGGAATTTATTTCCCAGAAAGATTATCTGTAGCTGTTATGCAGATAAAAACAAACACGTGGCTGAAAAATAGGAGAAAGAGGAGCCTTTCCAAACAAATACGCGTAATTTCTGGAAGAAACCTCATTGGTAGTCATCTCTAATGTGAATTTTGCAGGCTGTTGGTAGTGCTGGGGCCTGATCTAGGTTCTGAAGTCAGTAACCACCATCCTCCATTCCAGCTGCTGCCCATGTAATCCCATGTAGTGCACTGCCTGGAATGGGGGTTGCTGCAGCTGTTCTTGACCTGATAATCCCAATTCTTACAACAGACATTTGCCATGAGAGCTAATTCCTATTGCAAATAATACCATGGTTTTCTGAGTTGCAAGAAAAAGGCTTTAGGGTTAAGGAAGTCCTCAGTGACCTGGGATTATGTAGAGTAATGTGTGCAGAGTTGTCCATTGGAAAGCAAGTTTAGAAGCCCATTGAACTTCCCTGAATGCCACTTGCGGTAAGCCTAAAGTAGTTGATACATTTACAGTTGTAGCTTAAATTTATTACATTGAAGAAGCAAACCTTGTAAAACTACAGAATAGTCATGATGCTTCCAAAAGCCGCAACTGAATTCTCGCATACCGCCTTTCATTCTAACAAATTTGCTTATTGTAGGGTTGATCTATGGAGCAGCTGAGGGCACACACCACACGTTAATTTTACTGGTATATGTACAACACTGCTGTAAGCTGCTCTGAAGTGTTCAACTGATGTCTGCATAGATGTGGGCAAAAGCTCTTTAGAAACATCTCCACAAATATTCATTTACATTTCAAAACTAATCTACTTCAGCAAATTCTTGTACCCTATCCAGAACTGCTTCTTCCTAATGCAGAAGTAACTTGAATTCACCTTCATGGAAAAAAAGAAAATAATCAAATACATCAATTGTGTGTTGCTCTACATCTTTGCACAGATGGAATTAGTAGATAAAGGTAGTAATTACTTGATACATATATTTCAGAATTGAGATTGATTTTTTTTTGTTAACTATGTTGACTGGATATATTAAATCCAGGCACGTAGAGGAGAGTGGACTGCACGTTTTAGAGAACACATGGATTTCTGGCATATCTGAGAAATGCAGTGATTTAGAATAGAATGGATCAGAAGTGTGGTTTTTCTCATCAAATGGAAAAGAAGCTTTTCTACTTTCTTTAGAAATACTGTAACATAATTGGGAAATGTCTTTAAATATTCCCCTTTAAATGGCAGCAGAAAAGAGAGGAATTTCGTAATGGTCAGTGACATTATTGGCTGAGGCAGGGAGACAGGCAGGATTTAATTGTCACTTGAGCAGCAGATAAAGATATTCCTAAAGACTTCCTAGCAGACAGTGCTTGGCAGAAACGACTCCAAAATTCAAGTGCTTTTTTTGATGCTGTAGCCTGTTTCCTGTAGCAGACTCCAATGAATTCGTCCAGATGGGCTGAGGGGAGAAAGGGAGGGGAAAGCCTCTCTCTCAAGTGTCCACTGCAGCTGGACCATCCAGATTGTGGCGTGTTTTGTGCCAGGCATGTGTGGGAGCACTGAGCAGTTCATATCTTGTTCTCCTGCCATCCGTGGGCATTCTTCCCAAACTTGTACACCAGCCTTCTGTCTACTCGTTCCAAAATGCCTGTTTTATAATAGTATCTGCAGGGAAAATAAACAAAAAAAGTAGTAGAATTCAGATTACTGGAGTTCTTTACATAGACATCACAGCCAGAGAATAGAATGGGAGTCAGTGTACTCTTTCCAATCTTCCTTTCCATTAAATTGCTTTGTTGTGACTTAAAAGAGCTTTCAGCTTTCCCAGGTGCCTTGGATTATACCTTCCACTGTTTGAAAATTACAAGGAATACAAAGCTTTTTTGTTAGCTGTATTTTTAACTAAGATTACCACAATTCAGCAGAAACTGCCTATGTTTCTGCTGGAATAAAAAGCGTCATTTAGCAGATAGAGTCCAAGTTCTCAGCTGAGTTAATGTGATAGCTTTGTTGCAATCAGTAGAGTCGATTGCACCACTCTACCGCTCTACATCTAGCCCTATGATCCTATGTGACACAAAGGAGACTGAGTGCTCTCTCGTGGCCTGTAGAATAAACAGGAAGTACCAATTCCTGTCTGCCCATTGTAAGTTTTCAGGATAGTAATGAGATATGGATGTTGAGACAGAAGTCAAGTGAGGTGAGGGGCCCCTCCACCAATTAACTCACCGAAGTGCTCTGCTCAGTTTTTCATATGTCATTCTGTCATTTTTCTTCCTTTGTCCCCACATCTTTGCCAGAGCTTCTGATTTGACAACTCGAAAAATGCCTTTTCCCCTGTCCTCCCATTCCAGAATGCCACTGTTTTCTTCAGGAGAAAGGAGGAGGTCTCTTACAAATTCCCACAAATGTGAACTCTGAAGGTCTTGAACAGGAAGAAGACAGCTCTTCAGTAGATGTTTTCTTACTTAGGCAGAATTATATTTACGTTTGTCACCAGCTAGTTATTCTTGTTGTCTGTTTGCACTTATTTCAATTAGACTCTCCAAATGTTAGTGCCTTACCTCTCTACAAATGGAATTAAGGGGCAAATAAGAAGTGCTCCAGAAAATATCAGTTAAGGGCTTTTACAAATATTTATGGTGCTAGAATCTGGTTTCTACTCCAGGAATTTTACTGTAGAACACCTTTATTTATTTCATTCACTTATCATTGACAACTTTAACATATGGTTTAAATTGGTGCTTTTAAAAAAATTTTAATGTTCATCTCAAGTGTTTCAAGGGAAAAATTGTAACAAAGACTGGGCTGGCTAAAACTGAGATAACGAGTGCCAGTTTCCCAGCACTGGTAGACTGTTTCTTTTCCTGTTGTTTCACCTAGCTCAGAGATGTGTTTGCACACCAAATGTCCCACAAATAATGGGACTCTAGCTAAAAAACAAACAAAACAGAAAAGAAAAAAGAAAATGCAGGTGTAGCTATTGCCTTAACGTAAGATTAGAATCATAGGATCACCAAAGCTGGAAAAGACCTCCAAGATCATGCAGCCCAACCATCCACCAATATTTCCCACTAAATCATGTCCCTTTCCACAACATCTAAGCTTTTCTTGAACACCTTCTGGGACAACGACTGAACCACCTCCCTGGGCAGCCTGTGCCGCTGCCTGACCACTCTTTCAGAGAAGAAATTTTTCCTAATGTCCAATTTTACTTATTTGTAATTTTACTTATTTGTGGTATCGTTAAGGTTTCTTTTGATAACCGCATGGAGCCGAAGAGTTAGAACAACGTAGGTTGTGTAATCTTGAATTTTGAGTTTCAGATATATACTTACTTGTTCTACCATGACTGTGACATTCTTGGCTGCTGATGCCACCTGTCTTTATGCATGCTTTATCATGCACTGGGACTGAACTGCAGAATAACGTGAGAAGTGAAGAAGGAACTCCTGAATCTGGTGGCAACTTGGTCAAAAGGTCACCTATGCAAACACCATGCAACATTAAGTCAAAGAGGGTATGTGAGCTGCAACTTTATCTCTTTAATAAAACCCTAGCACAAAACTAAGTGCAAGTGAATAATTAACACAACTGTGGGGTTTGCAGAAGGGTGATTGGTGAAACCTCGTGAAAGCAATTAACAGTTAAACCTACAGATTCATTTCATGGGGTAAACAGTAGTGGGATAAAAGTGACAAAATAGGGGAACTTCTCTGAAATGTGTTTTCCATTGGGTGCAACTTAGTGTGTGTGATCATGTTTACTTACAGTCCTTGCTGGATAACTTTGTTTCTTCTAAGTCAGTAAAAAAGGATGTGCCTGTGAAGGTAAAACACAACCCAGTGTTCAATGCTTTTCTTCAGAAGACTAACTACTGAAACCAGTGAAATAATTTTTCAATTTCTCCACTGCTAAATTGATTTATTGTTTCCACTTCTTGATCTGTCTCGATCCTCCACTTTCCTTAGCCTTTGCATCACATCTACTCACGTATCTCTGTTTCTCTCTCCAAAGATCACTCACAGCTTCTTTTCACTCCGTTCTCATTCAGTCTCCTGAAAACTACTCCTGCATCCTTCCCCTACCTAACAATCACCTTTTCTGCTGGAAACCAGATGTGCACAGGCCTGAAACTCTGTGTTAGCAGGTTTGTGTCACCTTAGTAAAGGATCCATTACATTCCCAGCACATAAATGAATTCTTTGCCCATACCAAGCTGCATTCAGAGAACTTAATCCATGCTGAGCAGTCCAACACACAAAGTAAGTAAATGATAAACTTAGGCCTGCTTGTAAAGATGCAATTGGGTGCATTGCCTGCTATGTTGTGACAGTCTCGTTACAGGACTGTGTATATTGCCTTTCCTCACAGGCCTTGGGCAATGCAGGGGGTGGATGGGCATGGTCTGTTGTATTTAACTTACACTCAGCTGTTCAGTGTCAGCTCTCATAACCTCATCAAACAAAACCGGTCTACTTTCTGGGAAGCAGAGCAGTCTTCGCTCTGTTGGGTTACAGGAATAACTGTGTATTATGTCCCTCTGTATCTAGTTTGGATGTAACCCTGGGACTGTTGCAGGTCAAGCAGTTTCAGCAGAAAGGCCAAGGATGGAACAGCACTGGAGCCTGCATGAAGGTTTCTGTGGCCCACGGAGGAACCTGGTGACATGTGGCTGACCCCGTAGCTACATCAAGAGTGGAGGACACAGCTGTGGCTGTGTCCTTATGTAGGCTAATACCTAAGTGCCCTCCTGTTTTGCTGTTCTACAGCATGAATCCCACACTTTCTGTTAGCAAAAACTTCACTCAAAAAAGCACTGCTTTCTGTTTTGCATTTGGTTTCTGGAACACTCACCGTGCATCCTGATGTTCTGTAAGATGAAATACAAGTATTCACCACAGATGCCTGCAGCATCCAGGAACTCTTCCTGGGTCATGTTGCAAAGCTGTAAGCCACTGATATTAAAATGGGAAAAGGAAATGCAGTTGGCATCTAGCTTGTACTGGTCACAGCAAAACTGCAGCCATTCGCAGACGTTGTGCTTACTCCAGTGCTCCGGGTGGATGGATGTCCAGAAAGAATCAGAATCTGTAAAATATTTCACCAGAAAGAGGAACATTGTGATGCAAAGCTCTTCATTTTAATAACCACGTTCCAAGAAAAACTTATCCCTCTTCTTTCTTCTGTTATGGTTGCAGACTTCCTTCCTTATTCCGTAAAAGAACACCAGGCCCCACGTTGTGCATTTCACTTACTGCTGTTGCCATGCAAATATGCATGCTAATTGTCTTAGACCTTAGACTGAGAGAAACTGCTTACATGTACAAAGGACAATGTACCTCTCAAAAATACATAAATAAATTTCAAAAAGGTACAAGAAAATAAAAGAATTTGTATGAACTTAGCACTGTGTGGTAACAATGAGTGATGAATTCCTGGGCTGAAATAACCTGACATACTCTCTTTCAGTGAAATCTGTGGCAGTTGAGTAAATGCCATTAATTTTCATCTAAAATGATATTAGCGCTATAGATGGAAATACTTTTTGTTATGTTAGAAACTGAAAAACGCATTAGTTTTAATACGTCTCATTAATTGGCTTTAATTATCTATCTGAATCATTTATTGTATTCCTGGAATGGCTTAAAAGTAAATAACAACAGGATGGCAACAAAATAGCATGTGAATGAGAGTAGTATAATGTAAGCAGAGATTATTTAGTTCATTTTCACTTCTAACAGCATTGTATTCTTGACTTACATTTCCCACTTAGTTTGGTCATCCATTTTTTTGCCATTTTATTTTCAAATGAATCCTGAACATCTGATTTTAGGTACTGCTCATATGAAATGGCAATTCAAATTAGGCTATGATAGCACTGCAAGCAAAGTGAATTGTAGCTGTCATTTGTCTAGACAACCAGCTAGTTCAGAGTGCAAAATGATGCAAATAGGCTGGGGGAGTTTCACAGTAAAATGAATTCCAAGGGCTTGAAATTGTGACAGAATAACTGAAATGTGGATCCTGCTTTCGACGTGGGCTTCTGTTAAATAATTAATACTTCTAATTAGAAGTCCTAAAAGTTTACAGGGGAATTTGTGGTTGCTTTCATGAATCATTCCCAGGCTATAAATATCTTCATCTCTATGCACATATGGAATTAATGTAATACTGAACCTCTGCTGTGACATCCCCATAAAGCAAAGAGGTGGGCAGAAGATCTGGGTCTACCTTTTGGGGCCCATTGCTTAAGGATATTTGAATCTGACATTTTATTCAGCTCCTGATTTAAAAGGGAAATCTGGTGAGCCTGACATTGGGTTGGCTGCTCTAAGCCCTGCAGATGGCATACACCTGGCTATGTCAGAGTCTGGAGGTTTCCTTGGGGGGAATGGGAGTGCTGGAAACACTGGGCTCACAGGGCTTCTGCCAGGAAAAAAAAAATTGCTTTAATACTAGGTTTGAGCTCTACAGGAATCTCAACTTTAGAGGCTGCTCAAGAAAAGCAGAAGGCTGAATCGATCTCTTTTGGACCAGGCAGACTATTTTTATTTAATCCTGTGCCAACAGCCTCCAGCCCCCTTAGGAAAAGGTGGAGCATCCTCAGGTACCCAGCTAGACAGACAGACTGCAGAGAGGCCTTTCTGTGGATCGGGCACACGTCCAGCCTCATGTTTCCTGAGCTGCCCTGTGAGCTTTCTGTCCTTCCATGGGTACAGTGAATTATCTCACAGTGAATTGGCCATTGGTCTTGAAAATTTGACTTGACAGTGATAAATATCAGCTTTGCAGGCAGTACAAATGCCACAGCATGTTTTTTTCATGGACCAGCACTCATCCGGTCTAGTTTCCTTGTTTGCTTTGGCTTTGGAAAGGCTCAGATTTTTTTTGGAATATTCCAAGGCCCCATGTTAATGTACAGGATGAGTGTTCAAAATGTGCTGACACCGAGGTGTAGCATTTGCATGTGCTCTTGCCTTTTAGTTCTTATATCTAGGTTATACATACAGGGGAGCTTCCCCCTTCTTCCAGGCGATAGACGTGACTGAGGTACCGTGCCACTTTAAACAGCCTGCTGGAAGAAAAGATCAGCTGAAGACAAAGGCTCTATGAAAGGATTTCAGGTCTTCTTTTAGAGAAAAAGAAAAGGTCAGGTAGAATTTCATAGCACTGTTCCAAAAGTGTAAGGCAAAAAGGCACCTGGCAGGAGCTGGGGGCAGGTAGCTCCCTGTGGCAGGGCAGCAGTGTGCCTAAAGCTACAAACAGGGCACCCAGGAGGACGGTGGTGGGCAGCTGAGAGTGGAGAAGAGACAGACCCTCAAGTCATATGTTGCCCTTTCCACTGGTTTTAGATGATTCCTACCATCTATTCCATTGCACTAATTGTCTTGCTGGGCCTCTCCTGAAACCTGAATATTTTAAACCCTTTAATGTCACCCAGTACCCAGCCCTTGGGAAATGACATTTGTAAGCATAATCCCACCGGGCTGCAACTGTTGTTTCAGTCAGTAAGCCTGGTTCATGTCCTCCAGCTAATGCTGAGCTGTGAAAATGAGTCTCCTGCCTTGCAGGCGATGTGTCTTTATCTGTAGTGGCAAGCAAAGCTGAGGAAAACATGAAGTCCCAGGTAGGTTCAGCAATGCAGGCCAAGAAAAGTCAGCTGTCCAGGTTTTCCTGGGATGCCCTTGTTTTTACATGGCAACGGCAAACCAATGTTGCACGTGTGGTTACAGTTGGGGAAAATACTTTTATAAGCCATAACAAATCTGGGTGGATGCAATAGAGTCTGCTCTCTCTCTATATATAGCCCAGCTGTAATATAAGGCAGACAGCCCATGCCCACCTTTTGTCAGTTGGAAAAAATATATCTCATTTAATCATAATGTTTTGATTTTTAGAGGCAGAATTTTCATACATTTTCTTGTATTATTTCCCCAGAATTAGCACTTCTGTATAATTTTCCAGCACCCAGTGATGGAAAATGAGGACAAGAAATGAAAATAACACAGTATTTTAGTGTCACAGATTTTAGCTTCCTTCACTTTGTGTATAGAAATAAAGATGCCTCTAAAATGTAAATCCTGGTATGTTCTGATTGCCAGAAAGTGAAAATGTAAGAACATTAAGATGACTACTGTGGAAACTGTAAAGGCAGATTAATCTTGTAGTTCTCATAGGAACATGAGGATAGGGTGAGCCCCAGACTGAAAGTCCCACTAAGTTCGGCTCCTTTCTGTGATCAGGTTTGCAGGAACAATTTCATATTTTCAGGGAAACTATCAGACTTGGACTGGTACATATATATTAATTTGAGCTTGTACAAAAAACTACTAGCTGTCTGGCACAGGAGCTGAGTCTAGTAATAGCTTAAAATCAGTGATCTGCATCTGACTCTTTCTAGGCAGACTTGTCGTCTATTGTTCATCTGAATATATACATATGTTTTATATATATTTATGTATATTAATATACATTTCCATCTGGAATAAATTTGAACTTGACCTCACACTTTTTTTCATCAAATCCAAAACAAGTTTTCAGAAAGTGTGGGGATCAGAGCCCTGAAGCCTGTTGTTGTGACCAGGAGGCAGCGCAAGATGAGTTGTGCTGACCCACATTCTCCTCTGCCTTCAGTGCAAAGTTCTCCTCAAATTGCTGCTCTAGCACTGCTCCTGCACCACTGCAGTAGTTTTTTGGTGGTTTTTTTTTTTCCGGTGCTAGACATGTTAAATGTGCTCCTCAGCTACTGTGAAGGAAAGGAAGGAAATGGGAACGGAACTCACAGGTTTTACAAGCTCAGTTTAAATTTGATTCAGAAATGATTGTAACCATGAGGGGTTTATGGGAAGTTTAAAAGCATCAGAAATTGAGCAATGAAAATTTGTGAAGGAGGAAATGTAGCTTCCACCATGATCAGAAAATGATAATTATTTCCTCTGTTCAACTTTGCTTGGCAAGAGGGAGTCTGACCTGATTGCTGCACAAAATTCTGCAGAGAGAGCTTTGCACTTAGCTACAAGCAGAGTCTGACTCAACATCACTGCTGCATTGCTGTCCACCTGGGTGAGCTCAGAGCTGCCCAACTGTTGAGCTGCAGAGCTCACGCTGATAACAAGGAGCAGATGGCTGTAATGCTAGGAATTGTCAAGATGCCTCAGAAGGGCTGCTCTGCTTTCAGCAAATGCTGATCTGCTGATAGCAGAACTACTTCATAGAGTCATAGAAACACAAAGGTTGGAAAAGACCTCTAAGGTCATCCAGCCCAACTATCCATCTACCACCTATATTGCCCACTAAACCATGTCCCTCAGTACCACTTCTTCACATTTCTTGAACACATCCAGGGATGGTGATTCCATCACCTCTCTGGGCAGCCCTTGGGATCATTTCAATTTCAGTGATCTGATGGATTTTTATTTTTTAAACAACAACAACAACAAAACCAAGGTTGGATAGCAGGCAAATCTATAATATGAATCAAGGCAAAACTGTGACTGACCGCAAATTAACTTTAAATAGAATAACATTAGACTTTTTAAATTGCATTCTTAAATTTTAAAACAGAATACTTTCTGTGACATCTGTAATGTCTAGTGAACTTTAGAATTTCATTTTAAGTTGGAATGAAAACTAATATTAAAACAGTATAGAGATATATATATATTTAAGTAAAAATTTAATTCCTGCACAGCTTTAAAGAACAGCCTTCTAGTTGAAGCAAGATTTATATTCTACCTAATATACCATACAAACATGGAACAGACAAATTCAGCCATATGGAAACAAACACTAAGTCCTCAATGGCCATGGATTAGCACCAACAGAAGCTGTGTGGAAAGTTTTGTTCCTTATTACTCAAACTGTGCCTTAGCAAGAAAGTACTTTTCCATAAGGCCAACACTGTTCTCACTTAAGAGGACAAAAATAGCTTCCTAAGAGAAAAATACTGCATAAAATCATAAATCTTCCCCAGATCTTACCACAAGGTTGGCTCAGTATTGTGGCTTGGTTGTGTTACCTCTCTTTACAGAACTGTTGAATGATTCAGAGAGAGAAGGACTGTTCGGGAACTGTATGACTGACTGTTTGGAAGGGAGATTTAGAATGAATTCCTTTGCAGAGTTGGGATGACCGTGTAAGGTGTGCAACCTGGTGAAGTGCAGGGTCTCCACATTCACAGTTAGAGAATTGCACACTTAACATTGACAAATTCTGCAGAGGAGAATTTGATGTGTTTCTAGACCCACACAGTTCTCCAATAGCTTTTGAAATCCCAGTTATTGGCAGCTACGTGTGTGATCTGGTCATTGACAGTCATCACAAATAACTGACTCAGTATATGGCTGAAGTTCTGTACGGTAGAAGTGATCTCAGGGACAAATTCTACATTCCAGGCAGATGGGATAAACAAGGAGTCAAGAATCTGCCTTTCAATTGCTGCCTTTCTCTCCTTGTTGACTGCACTTTCCTTTGAGGGTTCCTTCCTGCATTACTTATGTAACCTTGCTAAATGGGGGGAAAACATTGCTTAAACACAAAACACTTCTTTCTGTGCATCTTGATCTTTTCTAAGCTAGCAATATGCTTGAGGAAGTTAATTGGACCAGAAAAGGTCCCCTGCACATAGCAAGGGAGCTGAAACTAGATGTTTATTATGGTCCCTTTAAACCCAGTTCATTCTATGATTCTAAGAGAAAGGTTACAAGAGAGGACTCAGCCTGTTTGGCACTCAGTTTATCTTGAACTAAATTAAATTCAAATTAACCTTGAATTACTGAAAATTCTTTTCAATTTCAGTTTCTATCTACATACCTGTCTGATGATCATAGGTGGGATAGTCATCTTCAGTTGTCCCAAATATCTCTGTCCAAGACATCAGGGGATCACAAACCATCATGTTTGACAGAAACGTGCTGGGTGTTACTGAATCCAGCATCACCTTGAGACAGCAATACATTAGTTGAAGATGAAAATATTAAGAGTGCTACTTTTAAGTAGAGCGGCATTAATTCCTTGGTGTGATTGCATAGATCTGTGATGTATCAATGGCCACCACATAAACTTCAGTTGAAGCTAATGATCTTTTGAAAACTGTAGTAAGATGAAGTAAGACATTTAGGAGGAATGCAGGAATGAAAACACCATAGGTAGACTTGCAGTCTAAATGATTGGAAAGACACATTCCTAGGGATTTGAAAATGCAATCTATACATACAAAAATAAGAGTGACAAATAAACTATTAAACAAATCATAAAATAATTAGAAACACGTGGATGAGTTTGACTTTATGACTATATGAGATTGTGGTAAAAAAGTCCCCATGTATGAGAAAATATCATTCTGGCCATAAAGATGTTCACTGTGTCTATAACACACTGCCATAAATGTCAGCCAGGCTAAAGCATGAGGAGATTAACAAAGCCTGAGGAAAACTAAGAATTTATGTGGAAAATTAGGGAACAATTTCAGATGTTTCGTGCAAGGGGATTCTTGCATATCTTGGTGATATTTCAGTGAAATAATGGAGGTTGGTGAAAACATGATCTATGGTAGAAATGAAAGTTGGCACGGAGAAGAGAATTGTGGTCCATCCCACTCTTTTCTGCCTATGTCACATACACATAAGTACACACACATGCAATTTGCTGTTCTTTACGGCCAAGACTCACAATGCCCAAACCCCCACAGCTTCCTACAAGCGGTAGGAAAGGTCATGGTTTGGAAGGCTTGAAGGAAATAATGAAGTGGATTTTAAAATGTTCATGTTTTGAGCACCGAGGCTCAAGACAACTGCTCAACTACTCAAGACAATTTACTCCTTCAGAAGCTGCTTCTGCCTTTCAGAACTAGTGATGCTCCCTGTAGGACTCTTTTATTCCTCTGATAGAGTGGTCCCTAATGTCACATCTATTTACAAACCATTTAGAATGTCAAAACAGTGGCTTTTTTTCCTATCTGAGTTGCTGCACAATATAATCCAAACAAAAATGAGCACAAAATGCTTACTCAGATTTTTCTGCAATTGCTTTTGTATTACTGGAATGAGATGATGTTGGCTTACTATACATAGAATTCTGAAATTCACAGTGTCGGGTAGAATGAGCAGTTATTTCTGAACTCTGAAAGGTAAGAGTTCAAATCAGGCCCATTTTTGTCTTCACATCAGTTAGTCCATGGAACAATTCCTATCTTTCCCAAAGAGGAAAGTAGGACATAAGGCACAGTGCTTTTAAAATCCACTTCATTATTTCTTTCAAGTCTTCCAAACCTCTCTCAACTCTGTACAACGGTGCAAGCATGTTGGCACAACTGTTTCTGAAAAATGGTTTGAGACTTTTAAATTTGAGAAATTTGAGACTTCATGTTACTATCTATGCAAATGGAAATTATTGTTTGCCACAACAGAAAAAAACACTTCTGAGGCTCTTGAAATCAGTGGGATTTTTTTTTTTTTTTTTTTTTTTTTTAAACTTCAGCAGAATTTCACCACTCATTTATCACCAAGGGGTGGCAGGACAGGCACACGCAGAAGAGCTGGATAAGAGCTCATGGAACAGGGAAGAAGGCAGGGAGAACTACGAATCACTGATAACTCACTTCAGTAATGACAGGACAGCGCTAGAAAAGTACCTCCATCTGTGCAGTAGGTGATTCCATTTTAGCTGTGCTAAATTGGAAATACAGGAAAGAAAGAGGTATCCAGGACACGTGCAGTGACAATAACGTTCCCAACCATTCCCTTGGCAGCCAGCACACTCTATTTTCCTGTGACAGTCATCCCCAAATGGCACAGTGATCACCTGGCTGTGAATACACACATCCTGGTACCAACCCAACAAGCAGAAAGAAAGCCCCCAGAGCCAACTCAATTTTGGAAAAGTGAATAAAATATCTCTGCAGGTAATTGGAGAAATGTGCTTAAGAATGATTGCTAAGCTAACCTGGAAAAGCATCTCCCCCACTCTCGACATCGGTCTGCCCATAAATAAGATTTCACATAGAGACAAGAATATCTGGAATGAAATCCCCGTCCTTCTCAAAACAATTTTCCCCTAAAATTCATCAAAGATAGAATTTTACTGTATATTTCTTTTGCTTATCAGCAGAAAATAATTTCTGACAGTTTCACAAGCTTGCTAGAAACACAAATGAAAAAGATGAGAGGACGATAAGATTGACACATCCTCTTTACAGTAAAAACCATTTATTGGTTGCATTTTTTTTAGGCTAGTGCTTTTAGTAGAAAAAAAAAAGTTGAAAATAGAAATGGCTTACAGAAAAGAATAGATTACTTTTGAAGACTATAATTATTTCTCCATCTGGGTAAGACTTAACCCAGAGAGAAGATGAAGTTGCTATTGTTTTCATCATCGCTATGCAAACATTAATGACAGATTAGTAGATTCAGTGCCTGGCTTGTGAATTTTCATGATGATTTTTCCAAGATGGAAAGTAGATTTGCACAAGGTAGAATGATACCCAGGATGATGGATGAACTAGAGAGAGCAAAGTACGGTCTGAAACAGATCCAAAGCCATTGGTTTTAGAAAAGATCTGAATAAGGCACATGCTTGATTTTGTAGTTCCCTGCGAGGAAAATTATTTATCCAAGCTGGGAAATCAGTTCCGTGAGAGGAAGGGCAGCTTGAGCTCCCACTGAGCACTGGGCCTGGGCTCCTGGGTGTGGGGCAGAGCTGCCAGCCTGACATCCAACAGCTTGGCTGTGTGCTGTGACAGGTAGCAAAAGCCGTTTAGGAAGGAAAAATCCTGTTTTACCCACATGCAGCTTATATGCAGTTGCTCCTATACAGATCTATGTACGCTCCAGAAAATAATGTTAATTCTTAACATCACTAACAAAGGTAATCTCTTTTCAAATACGTTATGCAAACAGGATGTTGGTTTGGGTCACGTTGAATGACATTTCACTGTTAGCTGGTGCTGCTTAGATACACATATGGGTATCCACTTAAATCCACTTTTGGGAAACAGAAAGGGGAAGAGGCATTCACATGTTTAAACAAAAGGGGAACTTTACAATGTTGGCTTTATCCCAGCTGGTGACTGATTGGAAGAAGCAATTAATTAGCTGTCACACTGCAAACGTTCTCTTCTGATTTAATGAGACAGGCCTAGATAGTTAATTTATTAAAAAGCATTTGTTGAGGTTCATGCATGTCTCCTCTATTAATTCATTAAACCAATCAATTGTTTATCATTAAGAAAGGAGGTGATGCACAACAAAAGTGGCAGGCAGTACATCAGCTGAGTGCCTGACAAATCATCACAACTAAAGCACCTTGGCAGCTGACAGCTCTTTTGAAAACAGCGACTTCAAGAAAGAAATGGAGCTTACTTGCAGGCGGGTGCTTACTCCCAGTGCAGCAGCTAAATCCAGAAGCAGTCTTGGGAGCCAGGGGGAGCAGGAGGCAGCAGCAGCACAGCCCGGTGCTTGGAAATAAAGCCACCTGTGGGACTGTGATATACGGAACACCTTGCAGACAGGTTCGTTTGGTTTTTCAAGTTCTTACACACACCCCTTTTGATGACAGTGATAATATATAGTATAGCACAGCTGAGGGAACGGGGGAGAAACATTCTCAAGTGCAGAAAGTTTACCTTTATCCTGCACTGTTTTCTTCTCCTCCTCTGAAAAGTGTTGATTTATGTAAGCCTGACTCTTGGACCACCTTAGGCAAACCCAGTGTGTTTAAGCACTTGAACTGAGGTGGCATTTTCAGTCTTTCCTTCAAAGCCTTAGCACGTACAAATGGTTACTGAATTATATTCAGAGACCTCAAATCCCAGGAAAGTGGCATTCTCACCACTTCTGACAAAGACCAGGAAAATGACTGGTGAAAATCATGGAGCAAAACAGTGACAGCATGAGAGAAAGTACAGTGCTCACCTGATGTCAAGTGACATCTCTACTCTGCATGCAGAATCATTAAGGTTGGAAAAGAGCACTAAGATCATCTACTGCAACCACAATCCCATATTCACCATGCCTGCTGACCATGTCCCTCTGTGCCACAACTCCATGGCCCATGAACACCTCCAGGGATGGTGATTCTACTGCCTTCCTGGGCTGCCTATAGCACTGCATAACCATTCCTTCTGAGAAGAAATTTTTCAAAACTGTTTTATATCTCACAGGGCCTGAGATCCCCCAGACCTGCAGGGCTGTAGCCTACATGCAGCTGCCTTTATTGTTGTTACTGACTACCAAATTATGTGAATTTTCATGAGGATGATGCTTGGCATCATTAGAAGCAGCAGATCAGAGACACTGGCAGTAGAGAGAATGAATTGGAAAATGAAATGAGCACATCTAATGTTAAAAAACAGTTCTTAATATAAACGAGGAGGAGCTTTGGTCAGCCTAGATCAAAATATTTTTGTGCCCCAGAGCTCCACATTAATTAGTAGTCTCTGGAGGATGCCTGAGTAAATAGCACAAGTTAAAGACTTACACATGTATGACACCTCAGTTCTCCAGAGAGGTGCTGCTTCTAACGCTGAGGATACCTTGTCCTTTATATGCCTAAAGCTTTGGACTAAGGTTTTCCTATCTTCAGAAATTCCACAGCCACAATTGTCATTCAGGGAGGAGTTGGAGATACTAAATGAGGCAAACGCAGAGCCATCTGCTTGTAGGATCCCTTTGACTTAGTTTTCTGCTTTTCTTTTAAGCTCTTGCTCCAAGCTGACGCGTTTGCTTGCCTGATTACTGCGGTGTCAGAGAGCTTCCACTCCTGTGTGCATCTCACATTGCTGCACAGTGTGACCCTGCAGAGCAGAGACTGAAACCAGGCACTGCAGTGTGGTGCGGATTGTAGGAGTATCTCCATCTCCCCAGTGCAGCAGGGCCATGCATGGTCTCATGGCTCGTACTGTAATGGGACTGCCCAGGGGCATGATGCACCTGAGGCTCATCACCTTCTGCTACACAGGAACATTGTTCTGCACTTCTGAATTCCCAGGATAGCACCAGCCTGTGCCATGTGCACTGAACTGCCTGAGCCTCGTTGCTCAGAACATGAACAAAGACTTTGCAGGTTTAAAGAAGATTGACTGGGCTCCTGAGAGTAGCAGGAAGAAGTTATTACTGGATTAGCCCGTGACATCATCTTTCACAATTTTTAATAAAAGTGCCACTCACTCAGCTTTGCAGGCTGATCAGAGAAACGTTGCTGACAAGTGCAAATGGACACTAGGGATTTCCACAGCGAGGCGGTTCTGATTCAAATGCAGCTCAGATTTCCACTGGCTACAATGAACTTCGTTCACAGTCTATTAAGTGGTGTTTGTCTCATATTCCCTCAGTTTATGACCCATTATTACTTTTTATCTCTTGTAATCATCTGAGTGACTGCAAAGAGACTTTGACTTGTATTATATGGCTTGGAGAGTGTGCTGGTGAAGCCAGGTTAATAACACTTACCATAAATACTAATCTAGGCTTTTTTTCTTTCAGCTACAGCAGTAGAAACTCAAATAACTGCATTTCCTCCACTCTGAATTAACGAACACCAAACAATGCCAGCTAGATGCCCTGCCGTAACAGAGGTTGCCATGAATACATTCCTGTGTTACATGGCCTAATGGTGTGCATCTTGGGGGACACATCTCCCAGGCATAGCCCATCCCAGTGAGCTCCGCACTGCCTGTACAGAAGGGAGATTTCCCTTTGCTGATTTTCCCTTTGGAGCACCAGTCAAAATGTCAACGGAAGCATCAAGGAGCAGTGAAGCACCAGGTATCAGGGGAAAGCGAGATCTCAGGATGTCTGAGACCATAATGTCCTCATGTTCTCTTCCATCCTGATACAAAACTAATCTGAGTGTCTTTTCCTACAGAACACTAACTAAATGGGCAAGGTAAGAGGAAGGGCCTCTAGCAGCCTTTTAAGAAAAGAGGCGGCATTAAGGTTATATGACAGCATAACAGAGAATACATTAGCAAAAATACCCACACAAGCAGTCTCTAAAATTAAAGATAAGTATTAAGTATACATTTATAGGTAATGTACACAATGGATGAGATTTCTTGGAACAGCGTGGAGGGCTCTTTTCAAGGAATAATACTTAAAGTACATGCAAATCTCTTTCTTCTTCCAGCTACAGCAGCAGAAAAACTGATTATTAACTCTGTTTTCTCTATTCAGAACCAACTGGCACCACACAACAAATGCATCACATCTTTATGACTGGATGTGAAGATCCTCCAGACAAGAATCACTCCACTTTCCCAGGAATATGCAGAAATTTCTGGGACATCTATCTGGAAACATATTTATTGGAAAACTACATTCTAGTTAACAAAATGATGGACTATGTGAATTTAACCATTATTTTTTTTTTCACAGAGATCACTCCACAAATCCTTATATACTTCTGAAGGACTATAAAAGGAAGAAACATCTGGAGGTTCAGTGACATTCAGCAAATACATTCAGCAAATATTGCATCACTGCTTCTTCAAGTGTGTGACACCACTGTGTGCTGTCGTCAGAGATCCCACGCTGACACCTGCAGTGAGGGTAAGCAACATTGCTCAGGAAGTCTAGGCATTTAACTAGCCTGAGATACTGCTGTGATGCGATTGCATACAGAATTTCCTAGGTACCTGCGCTAGCACAGTACTATTCAGACCCTTAAAATGACAGTGAATTTGTTCCATGGCCATCACAGGAGAGAGTAGTTCACAGCAAGAACAGGGGACTTTCCCAGACTTCTTCCAGCAAGAGGAATTTCTGCATTTCTGAACATACTTCAAGCCTCAACATTTTCCTGCAGTGATTCTGACAGTGATTCAGTGGGCCTACCCTTTGCAGCACTGCAACCAAGCTATGATCCAACTTTGCACAGACCACCTCATTGCTAATAGCACCACAATTCTCAGTACCAACCAGAAGCAGGAGCCAGATTTTTTTGGGTTTTAAAGCTGTAGCAGAAATGCTCAGTCAAGGCTTGAAGCAGTGATTGAGCACCTGGTGGGAAGGCAGGTCCAACCCAGGGGAGCTCAGGTGTATGCAATGTATCTGAGTGATTGGAAGGGGTGGAACCAGGATCCACCAGACCTCATTTAAGGGTTGGCAGTGGAGGGGAGGGTGTTTTGCTGGAGATCTTTGCCTTTCTGAGTCTTTCTAAGGGTGAGTGGATGTTTTTTTGTTTGTTTCTCTGTCTGTAGCTGCTGCAGCCTAGGACTTTGCCTCTACGCTTTTATTGCTGTTTTTTTGGTTGTGTTCCAGCATTACAATAGCATACACCGAGCTGCAGCAGTTTTTGCAGTCTCCTGAAGAGATACAGATTGTCTATGTTCTTGTTTAATCCTAGAACCAGTATTACTGACAAGAGATGGAGGAGTCCATTAGCGATGATACAATTAACGGCATGCTTGAATAAGGCTTCTCAGACTTTCCCTGGAATATGTAGAAACTTCTGGGATGTGTATCTGGAAATTCCCTCATGTTCTAGAGATTTTCTCTGCCAAATATGGTAGTGTTGCAGGATGGTGGTAGTACCGACAGCCTCCTTGTCGTTAGTTGGGATGATCACTGTCTGTTAAATATTTGTATACTCTACTTTTGTGAGACTTCTTTTTGTGAAGTCATAATTGAACGTATTCAATATTAGAATCAAAACTGGAGGCAAAAGAAGCATTGAGGAAAAACCAAGCTTTGGTGGGAGAGACTGGGCAGCACCTGGCTTTTTGAGTTTGGATCCAGAAATAGGTGTTTATGTTCATAGCTGTACATGGGAGGAGGCCCTGGTTCTTTATCTAGTCCAGGAGAATGCTTTTACTTCTCCACAGCAAAGTCTTCTTTGCCGGATTCATTTTGGTGAAGAAGAGGGTTTGTATATGGTGTAGTACAAGTGCTGGGATTTACCATGCTATGGGAGAACTTATTGCTTTCTCTTCTGCCTGTTGGCCTCTATTGCTTGACAGAAAGGAAGCAGCAACATGGGCTTTCCACAGGTGTTGGTCTGTTAGGTTGTAATCCAGTTTACCAGGATGATGAAATGTTTCTACTTTTCAGCTCTTGTTCTTATTGTAACTGCTTAACCACCTCCCACTTTTAGATAACATGAATGGGCAGCTGCTCCATTTAACAACATCATGTGGATGTATTCTTTCTAAACAATGCCAGATAGAACGAGAGCTGTTTTCTCATATCCACAGAATTAAGAATCACAACGCTTGCATACAGCTTTCAGTTGTTTTCTTTTTAAGGGAAGAAAAATCAACGGTGTGTCTTTGACCTTTAAAATATGATGGGAATTCCCTCTACAGATTTAACCTAGAGAAGTTAGGGAACAATGGCATAGATCAGAAATGGTTGGAAAACAATAGTAGCAATCAGATCAGTGCTATAAAAATTATCACCCTTTTAAAATACCTTTCACTTGTTAACAGGGCCCATAAAACCTCTGCAAGGAGAGAAAAAAAGTTAGTTTCTCTGAGAAGTCTAAG